ATAAAAAACATTTTAATATGACTACGCCTGAACTTCTATTGATTTGAGGCAGTCGCTGCAGAAACCACTTGCTATGTGATTCGTAACAATGACTATTTCCGGCGTACTAAACAACTGTGTGCCATTTCCAACTTAGTCGAATCTTGGAAAAGTATAACACTGACGGCTCTATTCGGTTGGCTAGAGCTTCCATCGTGCAACTACATTAATGTTTTTCTTTTGGGCGAATCACCTTCTCATCTAAAAGTAAAGACGATGCAAATGTCGTTTCGCTGTATTCACCACCAAACCTGCTATAATTGTCAGGTCATTCTGCATGTGGATCTGTGGAGATTAAATGGTCTTTTTATGAGAAATTAATCAATTTTTGCAAACTGTCATAGCCATTATCACTGGATGCACACGGGTATTTATTGCTGCTCGCAACTGGAGCACAACTACGCGAAAACCATCATCAAATCGAAAATATAGTTTCTCTCAATAAATCAAAAATTTCTAGAAATAGTAAAATTGTGAATTGTTCTGCCCGTAATTAAATGTTAACTTAAATGGAAATCTTGTTTAGGATTTCAAAACATTTTCAAATGATGAACTGAGCACTTGTGTGTGTGCGAGACGTCAAGTTCGTGCCTAGCTTCCGCCAAAAGGCAACAGCTGCACTCAAATTTTGACCATCCTCATTCATCATAGGAAACCTATGACAAACTGGTACTGCTTGACTGACACAGCATGCAGAGATGGAGTAGTGTGCGCAAGGGGAAGTGCCACGGAGTAAGAAACACGAGACGGAACGGTGAAAAGGAGAAGCTCGCTTTCTACGGTAGGCCAAAATTGCCTAGTGGAGAGAAAGAAATGTGGCAGTTGAGAAATAATTTTAACAAAGCGTAGAATTTTACTAAAGTGACGCGAAAGCTCGCTAAAATGCTAAATAATTCGGTAAGGAGCGCAAAACTGCGTTAGAATGCGAAATGTGATTTTAAAAAGCTGCATCATTACAGGACAAAATCAAAACCGAAGTATGCCTTCCTTTTATCGGCAGTTGGCTAGGTCACTGCATACATCTAAGAAGAGGCACATCATTACAACAGTGCTTCTGTGGAGTTTAGTAGATTTTTTAAATCAAGACTTCCCAGAGCACCACAAAAATAATTTGAGTGCTGCAATTGGTCTCGGCTAGATGAATTAAGCGCCTTAGAAATGAAAACGCAGAGAAACCTTGCATTTGGCGTTCTGAAAATAGGTCGATGCAGCAATTACACTGAGTGTTTCATCCGATGAAAGCACTGCCAAACGGCCAACCTGTAAAAAAATTCATATACCACACTTTAATGCACATAATTACTACAGCACTTTCTGTTTATAACCAGTTTGCACAGCCGATTACTTTTTTTTTTTTAAATTTTTGGTAGATTAATCGATACATTTGAGTATCAATGACTAATACCAGCGAGAAAGATTCGGGCAATTTTTGCACTGATTTTGTATGCTGCAGAGGCGAGAGTACCAATTAGAGGTAAATAGGGCAAAGAGGAGGGCTGGATATTTGAAGGGTAGGCAGGTGAAGTGAAGGGAGGCGGGGTTGGGGGAAAAGAGAGGGGGGGAGGAGAACAGTTCTCATCTTTTAAACAATATATGTGTTTTTTTTGGAACGATCAGTAGCAAAGTAAAATTTTCATTCATTCTGTTTCACATTTTTCTTACTGATAAAATCTTCATTATTAATAACTGAATAAAGAAACGTGTGGCGACGTTAGCTTTTAAAGGACTCTCCTCTTTTTATTGAATTCATTCAAAAGTGCATCGACTTTCAACAAAAATCCTTAGATGTACCACTGTCCGGTTCAAGCTGCTCCAGCTTAAACACAATATTAAGGTACCATATGGGCGCTACAGATGACTGCACTGGCAGTCATTGTTTTCAGTTCGTAGTGGGAAGTACGTCAGGATCCCGTGTCTGTTCCAAAACTCATTGCATTAGCCATATTTCAGAACTGGCTTATTCACTTGATATTGGCGTGTTGTGCATGTTAGCGAAATAGAATACCGCCGTCATGATTCTCAAATAATTCACTAATGGGGCAACCACTAGCATAGCACCAACAGCTATTGGCTGTCACTTCAAAAAACTCCATCACTGGGAACAGCTGGCTGAAGTTTCCACCTTTTTTGCGCAGTGACAGGTAGAGGGATCCGGGATTTCGTTTTAAAGGATGCCATAATCGGTCTTTTAAATTTAAAATCCACGCTGGAACGCACCAGGCTTGCCGGTGCGACCATGCGTTTTTGCACTAAATTCGCAGATCTCTAATAACAGAAATGGTCCCTGTAGCTTAACACTTGGGTTCGTCTGTGCCGCGCTCTGGCCTCTTTCGGCATGCAGGAGAAAGGGCGTCGGTTGGGATGAAGGTGTTGCACTATGAGGTCGCTTGGACCACCAGGCACATGACTGCCAGTTTTATGCATGAAACCTGGTCTTTTTTTCAGTAAATGCTCGCTTTTTGAAAAAAATGCAAATTTCCAGTTTACTAAAAAGTAGAAGTGTTGCTACAGTGGTCGTTCGTCAAAAGTCCAACTACGCAAATGAACTGAACGTTCATTTACGCATTTCAGTGAGGGCGGTCGTTCGCTGCAAAACGCACTCGTTTCTGATTTTTCGGTAAAGTTGGATATTTCTCTTAACCACCTGCAGAGAGCTTCACTTCCAAACAGAATTAAGACCGCAATCGAAAGTATGATATTCCAGCGAAGTTTTAGCCTCGCACCTTATCCGGTAAGCGAAATAACCGCTTCGCTACAAATATCTTTGAAGCGCCCTAAGTAGTAGCGCAAGTGCAATTCGGGACTTGATTTAAGTATACGATTTCACATATGGGCGTAAAACTTGCTGACACAATTCCAGCCACTGTTTTTCGGCAAGCTTTCGAGTTAGCACAGTACTAATTTGGAAACTCTGACTTGATCGTACTCGCTTCACAAGCTTGTACATAGCCGAACTTGAAATCTTTAGCTCGCACATGCAAAGTGAATATCTCTGCAAATTTTCAGCTCTGTACCTTGCCTGATTCGCAAAATCGTTTCCCCCAAGGAAATTTGCATATTTTTTTCGGTGGTCCGTACGCGGGTCTAGGCGTGTATGAGCGAAAATTTTAAAACGGGAGAATGACACACGAGGCAAAAACATATACCCAAAATTTCAGTCTCTCAATTTTCCTGGTTGCTGAGATGAAAATGGATGACAAAGTTCACTCGCTTCCGAACGCAAACACACAGACGACCTCTCGACAATATGCGCCTTTGCTGGCTTTAGTAGCGCTGTAGTGTTGCACAGTAAGAAAGCCTAAAAACAGCAGAAAGCACAGTGTGTAGTTTTTGAATTAATAAAACACGTTTCCTTCAGAAACAACGAAAAGATTAGAAATTTTCAAAAACTAAGAGGAAATAAGATAGAAAATAAGTTTTGGAATCAATTAAAAAGAAAAAACAAATTTTCACCAGCTTCGGAGAGCCGAATTAGTCAAAAATGCATATAGCCCATGAAGTACTTATCTGGCGTGAAAAATTTAGGACTTTTCTGTTAAATCTTCCACTTCAGCAGTTCCGCTTCTTAAAGTACTTTTTTGCATTCTGTATTTCGATTACTGCTAAAAGCTTTAAGACTATATGTCCTAAAATTTTTGGTGTTACCGAAACGAAGTGAAATATCAAGCAAAATACGCCCGATTTTCCTGCTCCGAATCATTACATAAATATCGAAATGCCAAATTTCCAAACTTCGATGCCCCAGAGTACTGAAAAATAAATAGTGGCGCATCAGGTAGCTGGCATGATCATGTTTGTCGTGCAGTTCTGTCTAGCGGGCACTTACTGTTAAAAAAATGTCCATTGCTTTGTTGCTTAATATGTGTAGAAGTCGTTAAAATTTTTAGTTTGGCCAAAAATTATACTTTTCCGCAATTGAGGTCTAGAAGTACATGAAGGCTGAATTTATTCCGAAGTGGCATGTGGATAAGAAACATTCTCTTGAAATTTCAGCTTTCTATTTTGTCGGGTTCCTGAGATGGAAAATTTCTTGCCGATGTACACGCGTACGTGCGTGAACCGTAGGTGCATGTGAAAGCCGAGTTTAATATCTGCACTGCAAGTTGGCAAGTAACACCGCTCTTAAATTTTAGCTCCTTATGGGAGTTAAAACTTAAGGAGAATGTGACGTGCCCAAAGGCGACGCAGATTTTAAATTCATCTTCCACATGCACTTATGTTTCTGGTGCGCCGCTATTCATTTATTTTTACTGAGTACTCTGGTGCGCCGCTATCCACTTATTTTTATTAAGTTAGCAATTTTTCCCCCATAATCTCATGTGCCCTTACCTGCAACCTAAACGCACATGAGAGATGAACTTGAAATTTTTGGGTCGCACATAGGTGTCGAACGCTCTCGTGAAATTTCAACTTTCTAATCTTTATGGCTCTTGAGTTAGTAATTTTCACGCCGAAACTTTCACGTGACGGCAGGTGAGGCCTGGGTGTACGTAAAGGCTGAATTCAAATTTGCAGGGCCATACGTATGGAAAGAATATATTCCTAAAACTTAGCTCCCTTGCCCGTCTGATTCCCGAGTTGAGAAAACTAAGGAAAAAGTGTAATTAAACACATACACTGACGTGGGCGTGATAATACGCGTTTTGCGCAGCTGTTACACAGTTAAAAAACACAAAAACAGAAAAAACTTTAGATCTTCTAGTCCTGAGGCAGTTCTTCTAGTCCTGAGGCAAATTCAAATTTTTTTGACGTAACAAATTTTCTGATTGCTCGAGCGCGCGAAAAAGGAGGTGAAATTCGTTTCAGTTGTACTTTGAATAAAAAACACATGTACGGTGTAAGTGCTACATGCATGCTTGTTTTTTTTACTCTTGAATTAGCCTGAATAATCTCTAAAAGATTTTTTTACAGCAGATTCAAATTATGCGTCTACTTTCAAAATGTTTTTACGGTCTTTATTACTATTGGTTAAAAAACAGAATAGGAAATACCGTGGAATTGAGGAGTGCTCGGAAGCAGTACAGCACTGCAACAGTGTGATACTCCGAACCGGAACGTTTTCGAAAACCGTTCAACAAACTTCGCAGTGATCCAATTCCGCCAAGTCTAATGAATGTTTCAACGTAACTAAAAAAATTATACCGAGTATTTATGCTTGAAAAGTTTTGTTTTTGAATTTTTCAATTTCAACCCTATCGCCTCATCCATTAATTTTCGTTCTTTTTTATTTTGTAGAAACAATTCAGTATTACAAGTGAATAATACATTTGATAGATCTGGATATTCTCAACAATGTCACGCACCGAAAAGACGGTACGTTTATGCGTTTATGCAAGTCTACAGTTTATGCGTTTATGCAAGTCTATCTGTTGAAAGTCTACAGTTTTTGCGCGCCCAAGAATACATGTTGGGCACAGAGTAGCTTATTGTACTTTAAGCTTTCTTCTTAAGCTCATACAAAGTTCTTGGTCTCTTTCTTAGAGTAAAACAGTAGCATGAAGCACCAAAATTTGGTCCGCGCTTGTGGCTCTACAAACGGCTGAGGAGCAAGTGCCAGAAAAATTTTCGAGCTTTTCAGTACCGGAACTGACAGGCGCACATTTGGGATTTTTCACATACACACGCACACACACAGAACATCCAGTTCATTTACATATTTGGATTTTTCAACGAATGACCGCTCTTTAGCAACATTTCAATTTTTCCGTGAAGAACTGGAACTGGATGTTCGGAGAGGATGAGGTCGGTCGTTCGCTGCAAAATGTGCTCGTTTCTGAGTGAAAACTGCTTAAAAAGTTGAGCAAAGCGCATGCTCACACCGGCTAGCCTGATGCGTTCCAGCCTGCGTTCTTCATACAAAAATTAACGTTAATTTGGGGTAAAGAATACATAAACTAAATACACGTATCAACCATTCATACGGTTAAGGACCTAACTGCCTCAAGTTTAGTGCAAAAACGCATGACTGTATCAACAAACTAGCTACTTTCCAGCTTAGGATTTAGAAGTAAGCCATCAACAACTTTGCCATGTGCTAGTAGTATTCATCCTAACGAATTAACGAATCGTAGAGAATTTGACTTTCATAGTGACGGCGTAGAGTCCTCGACTACAAGCGTGCAAGTAATATGGAAAAATTTTTACAATATCAATCACCAAAATTCAATAACAATATTTGGAAAGCATTTGTTCATTATTATCTGTTTAGTTTGTTAGGGTGCACTAGTAGAAACCTGTGTGACTGCGTTCTCAGTGACAGGAATAGCGCATCCAGAGTCCGAAGGCTATTTTCAGAGTCCATTAAATTCCGATCGTGAAGAATTTCTGCAAACTCTTCTGCTGTTCTATTATCCCCAATGCCATATTTTTCCTGAAATTCTCCTACACGAAGTGCAGAACTCACATGATTATAATGAAGACGTCTGTTAACAAAAGAAAGACGATGCCAGTACGACAAAACATGTATATATCTCAAGAACGACAAGTAGTAATGTAACTAGAGCAGCATGAAGATGTGCCTTCTTAGGATTCTGGGACAGAAGTAGTTTTATACTAGAAAGCAGTACAGAAAAAACAAAAACTCAGCGAAACAAAAGATAAAAGATATATTTTGAAGATGTAATTAGTACGGCAGAGCAGTACTGTACGCAGCGAAGACGATGAAAGGAATGGATACCAGACTGGCTAGTGCTAAAGAGTGAAAAAGAAGAAAACAAAATTTAACATAGAGAAAGAAAAGCAAGGCAAGGGAATGCAAAATTTTTGCCAAAGCACGAAATACGATTAGGAGGTAAGAAAATCAATCCACGTAGTAGGAGGGTAAACTAACTCATGCAGACTTTCGCGAAGATGACGAAAGTCTGCAACAGTCTGCAGCAACATTAAGCAGATGAAATCCACCAAAAAATTTCGAATTCATGATTTGTTTTGTTCTGAACATTAACAGACCGTATTTTGGTCAAAACGTGGTCATAAACCGAAAATCATCGAAATCTGAAAGTCAGTTTCACGCTGTTCAAGTGGGGCCACATGGTTAACTAAAATTGAGCATTTTAATTTTCCAGTTGCTTCGTTCTGGAGTTGCAAAATTGAACAGAATTTATATCTGAATTAACAGACTAGTGTGCACCAGATTCTAGAATCTAAACCTGATTACTGACTCAAGAACAGCCCAATCTGGCTCAAGATCGCAGTTTAGTTTGCATTCATCAATTTCCAGGCTAGTTGCTTGAATTTCTCGACGAAAAAATGTTTAAGTTCCTAATCAGTATCATTCTTGATCCTAGAATGATAAAAATAGCACGGATTTAGACTTGAGGTCATATATCAGGGCAAGCATGGAAAATATGTATCGAACTAGTTTTTGCCTTCACAAAAAATCGGGAACAGTGCCCTCAAAATATTACTTCCAAAGTCTTAATAGTCCTGAATTAAGCACACACAAATGACCTCGCTATAGTACATTTCAACTTTAAAAAGGGTAGAGATTAGCGGAAAGATAAAAAGAAGCATTCAGAAAGCGCTTAATAAACATTGCCTGATATACTAGTATCTTCTTTATTGCTTTCCTTAAGAACTTTACTGTTACTCAAATGTACCGCTAGTAACTCCGAACCAGAAAAGCTAAGAAGCTGAATTTTTAGTAGGGGCTTTTTCTGCTCATATGTCACTCCACAGATTTAAATCCTTTTTTCAAGTTTGTCTGGATCTCACATACAAACAAGTGAGTGTTTGGCGTGAAATTTTCTAATTCGAAACCAGACGAGTTAGCTAAAAATCTGCGATGATGTTAACTGCTTACGTGCGACTATACGAACCTAAACTCAGCTCCCAAGCATGCCTGCTTCTCAAATTACGAATATGTGAATATATTGGCGAGGAATTTTCCACCTTGGGGGAATTTTTTACTTCACGGATTCTTGGAGAATTTAGCGTAAGTCTTTCTAACGCGGAAACCAGATGAGTGAGTATGCTGAAGCTTTGGGCGTGTGTTTCTTGTCCATGTGCGACAGCCGGTAATGCAAGCTTGGCGCCCACATACGCTAGCTTCCCAGATGTGGATGAGTGAGGTTCTGCACTGGATTTTTTTGGCGCTGCACAAAACACAAGATCACATCGAATACCTTGCGAGCAGCTATTTATTTTCGTCATGAGTAGTCATTCAGCAGAGCCTTTTAATTTCCGTACAGTTACGAAGCACTACTTTCCATATTTATGCTTTATTGTTGCGAATAGTTGTAAACTGGAAAATTTTTGCTACAGAAACAATAATATCGTATGCTCACTCTGATAGCAGTTTGCTTCATAAGCATCAGCCATTTTTTCTCTATTGGTTGCTCTAGCAGCATTTTCTGGTTTTCTGGTGACAAATCCAATTCCGCCTGAAATTTGCCAAATACAAATGCCAGCTGCCTCTCTTAAAAGCTTTTATTAAGTTTTCATTTTTAAATCGAATGACAATATTTCAATCTCCGCTATTTTTATCACACATTTATCGGTTTTCCGTTATCAGAAATTTGATAAACGGAACGAAAAACAAAATTGCCCTAACTTTAAAAACATTTTTATCAGGATAATAAGATTATAGAAGTATTTTAAACTTCATTATATTCAGCAGGCGTTAGCACATCCCAACTAATGCTCGTGTCAGTTTGAAGTAAAACAAAATCCTTGCCTGGATTTTTCGTCTTTTAACTACGATTTTCGTGCACTTTTCTCAATCTGTTATTATGGTTTTGCTACCAACCTCGGTTTTGATGCGCCACAGGGGAACAAAATGAAGCGGGCATTCCTCATCTTGCGCCTTCATTAAGCAAAGAAAACTTCAATTGTTTAGAGAACCAAAACGCACCACAAGCCTTGGAAAAGCTGCATCTATTTCCCTCTCATCAACGTCGACTCTTTCCAGCGTGAACACAGGATTTTGTTCGGTATCTATTTTAAAACCAGATTTTTCCAGGCAGATTTTTTCGCCTGCCGGTTCTTCTGGCAATATGCGATTAAAACAACATAATGCTCTATCTATCACGTCAATCATACCTGAAACTGAAATCAACTTCACATTACACGCATTTTCAACATTAAGTTTTTTACGACGTAAAAGCAGGCAGTGATGTAAACAAAATCTTTTTTTTTTTTTGAGCTGATGGACCACATTACTTTTGTGAAGGGCGGGCAGATGACAGACAAGGTTAGTCTGAAAAAGTTGGCAGCCACGTTTATTTTGACCATTGGAATATGCCATAACTTCCATCCGGAGATTCTATGTACAGAAGCTGCAAGTTGGTGCAAATTCCACAGCATCGTCGATGTTCATAAAGCGTTGAATCGGAACTGTTGCACTCTGCGTTTTGAGGGCAGTGGCGTACGAGTGGGAAACATAGTCACTGACGAAAGTCGAACGCTGGTTGTCGCACAAATAGTAATAGAACGAAAAAGTACTTAAAAGCGCCACTTCACGATCATTCAGGCAATTAGACACATTGCCAAATTAATGTGTGCAATAAAAATGTTAGTCAGGACACGTGGTGGGCCTAGCTGGCAACCTCGTGGACGCCGCACATTAGTGAGTGGCAAAACCGCAAAAAAGTGAGCGACGCCTGCTGAAGTGGCCCATTTGCTTCAGACAGGCAGTGATACTAACTGGAGTTTCCAACTAAAGACCGAAAAGCTTTTCAAAACTCTGTCTGGCTTGCATATGCATTCCTCCAACAGCAGTGAAATCCTGAGACCGACTGTATGGCCTCTTGATAACTGCCCTTTCAAAATGCTTTTCAAGTGGAGTGCTTGAAACACGCGTCGCCATGTATAGTATTACAACAGGTAACGCTACGATCTAATGCTAGGTGAGAATTCCACTCATCCGGTGGAAAAACAAATTCTTGACGATTTGTTTATTCGTTTCAGTGGCAAATTGACACTGGCACGTGCTAATTTATCAAAATCGCCATAACAGCTAACTGTGAGCGATTATCGGAAAACGACCATCGCCAGTCCTATCAACAGCTGACTGCTGCTACCATTTGGAGTTGATTCCCAATGCCTTTGCCTCTGATAGCGAACTGTGGAGAAGTTTTGAAATGGTTCCTCTTTATAAAACTTCAGGTTCCGCCATTCCGCCCAACCAAACAACAGTAAAGTGCAAATATGAAGAAAATGGTCGTGACTGGAGGTTCAGTTGAAGTAAGCAGAGTAACAGATTACAGTAGCAATTCACCAATTTTGATTTTGCAAATGATCTAAACAGTTAACAGTGTGCAAATGAAAACCTAATTGCCACCGTACTGACCGCCGGTGCGAAGATGCACTTTCTGCATTATTCTCCGCGGAGCTGTTGTTGGCAGTATGAGAAAACTGAACAGGAGATGAGCACTCTAGCTGCATTCGTTGAAGAATAACATCAAATTTCATGTGTTCGTACGCGAAGCACAGGTGAGACAAAAAAAAAGTTGTTATCACATCTTCCTGTTCAAACACGGTCATCGGCCATGCTTAGAAAATTTCAATGCTCTAGCTGCTTTAGTTCTGAAGATACAAAATTTTATGCAATAAATTTCATATGACCATACGTGAAAAGCAGAGGAACGAGGAAATTCAATTTAGGTATAAAATTTTAAATAACAAATTTCAGTGCCCATACTTGAAAAGCAGAGGAGCGAGAAAGCTCAATTTACTTTCGCGAGCACATCAATGCGCAGTAAATAAAGTCTTAAAATTTTAGTTTTACAATTTCATGTTCAGTCTAATTCTCGTGTCGGCATTGTGCCAGCTTAGACTTTAAAGTTTACACATATGAAAGCCAGGATGTGTAAAGGCAGAATTTAAAATCTTTAGGTAAAACGTCGGTAAGAAGCATTTTAAAGTTTCAACTTTCTAGCTTGCCTGATTCTCCAAATGCTTTCCCCTCGAAAAATTTTTAACGCGTTGCATGTGAACGCCAGGAGGGCGTGAAAGTTCATTTTACGCCAAGGGTTCTGTCGGCAGATGCAGACAAAACTGAAAAAGTTTCAGCTTCATATTTTTCGTAAATCTCGAGATCAAAATATGCGAACAGAAACACACACACACAAAAACACACAAACAGATAGACAACCCCTCGACAACACGCGCTTTTTTTTGCATTGCACAGATTCAAAAAACGTACAAATAGCACAAAAAAAAAATGCAGAACTCATACTGAGCGATGGATGTGTTGGCCATTTTTAGAAAGTGAAATTCCGCAAGGTTCTCTAGAGAAATAGATTTTGACAGGAACAAAGAAAGATGATTAAAATAAATCCGGTGTAGAGCGGAGGATTTAAAAGGGATTACGCAACTGTTTGGTGCCGGATTATGTGCTTTATTGTAGACCATTCAAATCAATTAATTTTTGGTTCGTAATTTTCCACAAAAAATCTTACAAGTTCGAGGAAGCGACGTATGGAGATTCAACTATCTAGCACAGCCCTGTCAACTTCTTCTGACCCAGTCAATTTGGCTCATTTTCTATCGGCCATTTCACCGGATCTGTGCAACAGATGACAGAAAAATCCTGAATTATCATCCCCTAGTCTCATTGTTACCGTTGTCAAATAGCTGCAGGCGACATTTAATCTGCTGGACGGGATTTGTTGTTGTCTTCGCTGCTCATTGATGGACATCATATATTGAAGACTTGATACCCGCAAGATAAGGAGGAAGTGAGAACTCGCTCAGTTCCTAAGGACTGTCCGGCAAGTTGTGGAACAGTGAGTGAAAGCTAGAGGATGCTGCTTCAGTGCTCCATGTAATCTGGAAGGGCAAATGCTCCGGCAAGCAAACTGTTCATTGAATGTTATGGTGGCCATCGTGCATATTTGACTGTGCTGCAAGCCACGCGTTCCTCGCACAGATGACAGCAGACAGGCGACACGTCTCACTAGATACGTACATGATACACGACCAGTCGAGCAGTATTCGAAGAAATTATGCATATGAGCTCTGCCTATTGCAAGAGGACGACTGACCGCATATGGCCTGGAACAAGTGGACTTGGCACGGCTAGGTCCTACACGCTGTTGTTTTTCAGTAATATCGAGAGGTTCAGATTATGCTTAGCCGAACCTGGTAAAAAAGCACTGTTCAAGGATTTCTGATGTTTCAGATTAAACAAAAAACAGGCGATTATTTAAAACAACGTCATCTCTACTGCTTTGAAAATGTATACCCTAAGTTTAAAAAATTCAATTTTATTCCAAGAAAAGCAAAATCTTCGAATTTTGTATCCTGCAGTATCATTACGTTCGAACGAGCAACCAGCTAGAAATTGTCTAAATGAGCGCTTTGATACGAAAAAAAGTTTTTTGAAGTTTGCTACGCAACATTTAATAATGAGAGTGAACTAGCAACATAAATAATGTAAAGACCACCTGGCTATCATTACGGGTATCCCAAGTTAATGGTGCTTCCAAACATTCGCGAAACAGTGACAGGCCCTTCGATGCTAAGCTGCAATGCTCCTGTTAGTGCCTACCGCCTGTTTATTGTATGAGCGTCACACCTTCAGGGGTTGCCCAAGTGTTCGGGTACCACTCCAAAGAAAATAAATATCCAAGCTGGAATGCATTAGGCTTGCCGTTGCGATCATGCATTTTTGCACTAGATTTGAAGTGCTCAAGTCGTTAATTGCGTGAATGGTTGTTGCCTTACACCTATCTTTTGCGCTCATTAGCATAAATCATCGTACATTTTGCATAAAGTAAATGAACAATTTCTGTTTAACGATCGCTCATTGAAAATAACCCAGCTGTTTAGTGGGCAATTTTCCTGCCAAAACTTTTAAATGCCTGTACATCAGAATCACGCACATCTGGAGGCTGAATTTAAACTTTTAAATTGTACGTGGGCGAAGAATATACTTTTAAAATTACAGTTTTTCTGATTGCCGAGTTAGCAATTTTTCCGACAAAAATTTCACGTGCCCGTACATGAAAACCACGCACATTTGTGAACTGAACTTGAAGTCTTTAGCTCACACACGCACAGAGAATATCCGTGAAAGTTTCAACTCGCAATCTTTTATTCCTGAGATTTCTCTTTTATTCCCCGCCAAAAAATTTTCATATTTTTTTGAGGCGTTCGTACTTGGACCCAGGTGTACGTGGTTGATGAGATTAAAACTGGAGAGTCGCACATGACATGGACACATACTCCCGAAGTTTCAGCCTTCTAACTTTTCTGATTCTCGAGTTGAAAGTGGGTAATAACCCAGGCTGGAACGCACCAAGTTCTCCGGTGCGATCATGCGTTTTTGCACTAAACTCGCTGATCGCATTAGCAGAAATGATCCCTACTTTGTAGCCCAACACTTGGGTCATATTGGCGTGCTTTGATCCTTTCCGGCATGCAGGAGGAAGGACATCAGTTAGGATGAAGGTAGTGCATTATAGAGCCGCATGGACATCCAGGTGCGTGATTACCGGTTTTTTGCATGAAGTCCGGTCGTTTTTCGGTAATTGCTCGCTTTATGAAAAAATGACAAATGCAAATTTTTTGAAAAAAATGCAAATTTCCAGTTCATGAAAAATTGGAAG